CAAGTGGATCTGGCAGAACTACCTTAGACCATGTTCCAACTTCATTCTTTTCCTTAAATTTTATTTTATGCTCCTTTCCAAAGAAGTTGCTTTCTAGTTTTTGTTTGTTTGCTTGTTTATTCATTTGCAAAAGGGAGTTGGCAAACCCAAAACATGGTTGGATGTCAAAGGAGTTGGTTAGAACATTTGAGTCCTATACAAACACCATAATCTAAGGTCTTGGCCCAAGCTACAAACAATTTTCAAGAAACAACAAGTACACAGTGATTAAGTTGAAGCTAACATAAAAGGATTTCCAAGGTTGAAACCCTGTGGATCCCACAGGGGAGAGGAATAAGAAGCACTTCATTGAGAGTTCCGTACTCAATATAGCTCTAATTAAGTGCTCACCAATTTAAATGTAATTCCACTAATAACCACTCTGTGAGGAAGGTGTTGTTATTCTCCCTATTGAACAGATAAGAAGGCAAGTTTCAGAGAGGTGAAGTGACTTTCCTGAGTTCAAACCGTTACTAAATGGCAGAGCCAGGATTTGAACTCATGCCTAACACACAGTAGAGTCTCAGCTCATGCATATTGTTTATGGAATGAATAAATGAATGAACAGTCTTTTTGAGTAGAACTGTTCTGTATCTTGATTGGGTCAGTATCAATACCTGGTTGTGATGTTGTACTATAGTTTTGTAAGATTTACCATTAGGAGAACTGGGTAAAGTGTTCAAGGGATCCCTCATTTTTATTCCTTACAACTGCATGTGAATCTACAATAATATCAAAATTAAAAGTTTAATTAAAATAAAAACTATGCTAAGGAAAGAAGCCAGACACAAAAGGCCACATATTATGTTATTCCATTTATATGAAATGTCCAGAAAGGCAAATCTATAGAGATAGAAAGTTGTTAGAGATAGTAAAGTTGATAGAAGGTGATTGCCCAGGGGTGGGAATGGGGAGTGAGTGCGCATGGGCCTGAGGGATCTTTTGGGGCATTGCAAATGTTCTAAAACTCAACTGTGGTGATAGTTGCCCAACTCTGTAAGTTTACTAAAAATCATTAAATTCTACACTTACAATGGATGAATTGTATGGTGTGTAAATTATGCCTCAATAAAGCATTTTTAGGTAAGTTTCTGTATATGTAAAATTACTGCAAAATAAAAGGTTTATTTTGAAAAAATGAAGTAGTGTTAAAGAAAAAAATAAAGACTTGAGACCCTCCCCACAAAAAAGGAAAGATGTAAAAAGATCAATAACTATGACTATATCTATATGCCAAAATACATAAAATTAAAAGACAAATGACAAACTGGGAAAATATTTGCTACAGTTATAACAGACAGTGTGTCAGTATTCTCAATATATAAAAACTTTTTAAATACTAGCATCCCCAAACAAAAATGAGTAAATGACACTCTCCTCGGATTCATTTGTTTACAAGAAAGAAAAGCCACTCTAGCTATCTTGTTGTAAAGATATAACAGGTAGTCTCATAGTCATCTAAGGACCAGAAAAGTGGTGTACACAGGGAATAGTACTGGAAAGGCAGGAACAGAGACTGCCCACTCTCTCATGGACGTGTGTAGCTCTTCTTTCTGCTTGTCTGTTTCATCATCCTCTGAATCTCTTAGCTCAAATTCTCAAGACTCTGGCAAGCCATGGATTGATTTGACTTGGATCAGCTGTCCACTGTGTGTCCAAATAGCTGTCACTATTATAAAGATAAGGCTTTAGATTATCTGAGACAGAGCAATAGACAGAACAAGCAAATTCACTGACATGTCTATGATAGACATAGACCAGCCATAGAAGTAAATACGTGTTTGGGAAAAATATGCAACCTCATCATTAGCAATCAAAGAGACAGAAATTTAAATAGCAAGAGACTTTTTTTGCCCATAAAAACATCAAAGATTAATGATAATTCATGCTGACATACTACTGGGAGATAGGACACATGGGTCTGGAAAACAATTTTTTAATTAATTAATTTGTTTTTATTTTTGGCTGTGTTGGGTCTTCATTGCTGTGCGTGGGCTTTCTCTAGTTCTGGCGAGCGGGGGCTACTCTTCGTTGTGGTGCACGGGCTTCTCATTGCAGTGGCTTCTCTTGTTGCAGAGCACGGGCTCTAGGCGCGCAGGCTTCAGTAGTTGTGGCATGCGGGCTCTAGAGTGCAGGCTCAGTAGTTGTGGTGCCCAGGCTTAGGTGTTCCGTGGCATGTGGGATCTTCCTGGGCCAGGGCTCGAACCCGTGTCCCCTGCATTGGCAGGTGGATTCTTAACCACTGTGCCACTAGGGAAGCCCTGGAAAACAGTTTTGCAATATGTATTGAGGACCTTTAAAATGGACATAACCTTTGACATAATAATTCCACTTCTAGAAATCTATCTTAAGGGAATGAATAATCAGAGATACAGCGAGATTTATATATGTGAATATCTTTGTAGTATTTTTTATAATAAAAGAAAAAGAATGAACAGTATAAGTGTCCAGTATTATAGGATATTTAAGTAAATTGATAAACATACGAGGAGCATACAGTCATTTAAAATCATATTTTTGAAAAGTATTTAATGAATGAAAGGTTCTTATAGTATTATGTTGAATGAAAAAAGCAAGATATAATATTCTATATATAGTGTGAAAGAGAGAAAAAATTGAGATGCTAGGAAGAAAGAAGCCAAAATCGTGAACTTAACAGTGGTTATATCTAAATGGTAAGATTACAAATTATTTCCGTTTTTACTTTTCATTTTCTTCATACATTTTTTGGCTTTTTAAATGTTTTCTGAATGAGAATGAACTTGAACTTTTGTAATCAGAATAAAATCATAAATGTTGCTTAAAATTCAAAGACATAGAGGAAAGACATGGAGTAAAAGTAGAGACCACTAAATATTAAAGCATATTTAAAATTTAAGTCAGTATGGTACTGGCATGAGAAATAAAACACAGAATAAGTAGGGTAGAAACAGATTCTTGTATGTGTGAGAATTTAATATAAGATATGGGAGGCTTCACCAAATAGTAAAAGAAGGATTATACCATGATTGAATTAGTTACAAATAGTAACCAAGAGTTCTGCTATGCCATATGCTAAGTGCTTTTACATTCATTTTCTGCTTTACTTATTACAACCTTTGAGATTTAGATAGTATTATCCCCATTTTAGAGATGAGTGAACTCAAGTCCCTAGAGCTTTAGGCATTTGCCCAGAGTCTCATATAAAAGTAGTGGAACCTATGTTGGAACCAAGTATGTCAGATTCTAAGTCTCTATTCTGTTCTACCACATTCTATGTATATAAAGTTCCTGGCAAGGTATCTAGAATACAAGAGGCATGTAGTAAGTGTTATTCCTATGAGTAACTTATACTTTTCTGCATATATTATAATGTAATATTTAATGCTTTATATAGTATATATAATAATGTAAATACTAGTAATAGTAATATGATAAATATATCATCTTAATAACTCTTGTCTTTGTCCCCTGGCCTTCTCTATGCCCTCAGCCGGTGCCTTTGTTCAGACTTCTTTGGCCACAGGTTGCTTCAGTTGCCTCCTAACTGGTATCCATACCTCTTGTCCCTTACCCTCTGAGCCAGTCAATGTCAAACCAATCTCCTGCTGACAATCCTTAACTGTCTTCATATATTTTCAGGGTGAAGGTCCAAAATTCTTAATATTGTTTCTGAGACCCTTCACGATCTGGCCTACTTTCTTTTTTTTTTTCCAGTTTTATTGAAAAATAATTGACATACATCACTGTATAATTTTAAGGTCTACAGCATGATGGTTTGATTTACATACATTGTGAAACGATTACCACAATAGCTTTAGTTAACATCCATCATCTCATATAGATACAATAAAAATAAAAGAGAAAAAATTTCTCCTTATGATGAGAACTCTTAGGTTCTACTCTCTTAATAACTTTCCTATATACCGTGCATCAGTGTTAGCTATAGTCACCATGTTGTACTTTACATCCCTAGTACTTACTTATCTTTTAACTGGAAGTTTGTACCTTTTGACCACCTTCTTCTAATTCCTCCTCCCCCACCTCCCCCATCCCCTGTCTCTGATAACCACAAATCTAATCTCCTTTTCAAAGAGTTTGGTGGGGTTTTTAAAATTTATTATTGTATTCCACATATAAGTGAGATCGTACAATATTTTTCTGTCTCTGACTTATGTTGCTTAGCATAATGCCTTCAGGGTCTATCCATGTTGTTGTAAGTGGTAGGATTTCCTCATTTTTGTATGGCTGAATAATATTCCATGGTATATATAAACACCACAACTTCTTTAGCCATTTGTTCATTGATGGATGCCTAGGTTGTTTCCATGTCTTGACTATATAATACCACAATGAACATGGGGGTGCAGGTATCTTTTCAAGTGCATGTTTTTGTTTCCTTCGGATATAGCATTCCAGGAGGTAGAATTGCTGGATGATGTAGTTGTTCTAGTTTTAATTTTTTGAGGAACCTCCATACTGTTTTCCATAGTTTGGCCTACTTTCTAATCTCGCCTCCTATCACTGCAAACCTGCTTAGCTCCAGCACTGTGGGCCCTGGTATATCATACTGAACTCCACACCTCCATGCCTTTACACATGCTGTTCCCTCAGTCCAGAGCATCCTTTCTCCACCATTTGTCTCACTGATTTCTATAGCCCTTTGTAACAGCTCCTATTGACTTTTTCTTCAGGATGCCTTCCTTACTCTTCCAGTAGTAGCCCTCTTCTGTGCTCCTGTAGCACCCTGTGCATTCTTCTATCTTGGTACTTAACACACTGTCCTGTCTTTGTTGACCTACATGCCTGTCTCCTCTACGACCTAGATGGTAAGTAACCAAAGGCAGAGATTCTTTTACGTTATTTCATTGGAATTATCAGAACCTAGCTAGGGTCTGGCCCATGACCAGACCCTAGCTTAATAAGTGTTTGTGAAATGAATAAATGAGCTTTTGTCACCTAATGATGCTTTTATCTTCTAGATATATGGTTCAGTGGCCTGGTGGCCGAATCCTGCATCGCCATGAGCTAGACACCTTCCTTGCACAGGCAGTATCTACTCAGCTTTATGAACCAGATCAGCTTCAAGAACTCAAGGTGATTTGATCGATCCTCATTTAAATTCTTTCTTTTATGAGCTCATAGCTTTATTTTAGGTTTTTTTTTCCCTGGAGCTGGGGAGAAGAGTAAGTTCTGCAGGTAAATGTTTGATTACTTTAGCCAAATATTTATGTCTATTAATAAAGCCAACACTGTTCACGTAGTGATAGGTGAGAATGGGTAGAAAAAATGGATATTGTATAAGGCAAATAAGTTGTGGCCCATAGAACACAGTAAGGTTTCCAACTCTTACAAAAGATGCTACAGGGGACTTATCCTGGTGTTCCCTGTTTGTCTCTGAGTAAATGTCCACCCTCCCTTTTTTAATGAAGTATGGTTGATTTACAATATTGTGTTTCAGGTGTAAGCACAGTGATTCAGTACTTTTGCAGATTATATTCCATTGTAAGTTATTATGAGATAATGGGTATAATTCCCTGTGCTACCCTGCCTTTTTAAATAATACTTATTGGGTGTTAGAGGAAAGTCTAGAAAAGCATAAGGAAGAAAGTAAATCCACCATATAACTGAAGGCAGTAGAATATAGTAGGTTGGAGGGCAGGCTCTGAAGCCAGGCTGGCTTGACTTTGAATCTTAGCTTCATTACCTTCTAGCTAGGTGTCCTTGGGCAGGTTGCTTAACCCCTGTAGCTTCAGTTTCCTTACTTGTAGAGTTATGAAGATATTAAATAAAATAATCCATGCAAAACACTTAGAACAGTGTCTAGCACATTTTAAGTACACAGTACTCAATAAATATTAGGTACTAATGCAGGACATTCCTCTTCTGACTTCAGTAGCCATGGTCCTTTCAGGCCCTAGTATAAACTAGAAGATAAAGTCTAGTAAGTCTTACAAAATCTTGATTTCAGTGGGGTCAACTAAGGGAAAGATGAAAACAGTCTTAGACAGACAGTGTGGGTTCCTTTTTACAGTAAATGTGATACTGCTTGGTGCTAGAGCAGGTACTGACAGCTCCACACCACACCTAGGAGAGGGCCTGCAAGAACTTCCCCTTTTCCTGGTAAAGCCATCTAACAGGCCAACTTGAGATAACCACTGTGAACATTTTGATGGTTTCTTCCAGACTTTTGTCATGTATTTTCTACATAGTTGAAATATTATTTATGTAATTATATACTGTATTTTTAAACTTAATATAGCACATATTTTCTATGTCTTAAAAATTTCTGCTAAATATTTTATCATATGGATGTATCATTTAATTATTCTAATGTTGGCCATTTGGTTTCCAGTTTTCACCTATTATATGTAATTATTAACATCTTTTTTTAAATTTTTTTGGCTGCATTGGGTCTTCGTTGCTGCGCGCAGGCTTTCCCTAGGTGCGGCGAGCGGGGGCTACTCTTCGTTTCAGTGCACGTGCTTCTCATTGCGGTGCACGTGTTCCTCATTGCAGTGGCTTCTCTCGTTGCGGAGCTTGGGCTCTAGACACGTGGGCTTCGGGAGTTGTGGCACATGGGCTCAGTAGTTATGGCTCGCGGGCTCTAGAGTGCAGGCTCAGTAGTTGTGGCGCATGGGCTAAGTTGCTCTGTGGCATGTGGGAGCCTCCTGGACCCGGGTTTGAACCCGTGTCCCCTGCATTGGCAGGCAGATTCTTAACCACTGTGCCACCAGGGAAGTCCTGTAATTAACATCTTTATGCATAGAGCTTTATTCACATCTCTACTTCCTTAGAATAGATTCCTAAAAGTAGAATTTCTGAGTCAACAAATGTGAACACTTTTAAGGTTCCTGATATATATTGCTTAATTGTAACACACATTACTCATTAGTTTTATTTGAGTGTGCCCATTTATTTCACCATATCCTCATCAGCATTGGGTGTTCTTTTGGTCTTTAGTTTTGTTTTAATTTTTTTCTAATTTGACAGGCAGAAAAAATGGTTTCTCAAGTGGGTGTCTTTTTAAGGTTTTAAAGCTGATTTTTTTTTTTGTAATGAGTGTCATCCAAACCATCTCAGGGAAACAAATGGATGGAGGCTGCTTATGCACTCAAATGTCTGTATTGAAAGGCAACATGTTCTAATTTAACTGGAATAATCAGCAAAACAGGAATAAGCAAATGTAACCAATAACAGTAATTTCTTTTTTTTTAACACCTTTATTGGAGTATAATTGCTTTACAATGGTGTGTTAGTTTCTGCTGTATAACAAAGTGAATCAGTTATACATATGTTCCCATATCTCTTCCCTCTTGCATCTCCCTCCCTCCCACCCTCCCTATCCCACCCCTCTAGGTGGTCACAGAGCACCGAGTTGATCTCCCTGTGCTATGCGGCTGCTTCCCACTAGCTATCTATTTTACGTTTGGTAGTGTATATATGTCCATGTCACTCTCTCACTTTGTCACAGCTTACCCTTCCCCCTCCCCATATCCTCAAGTCCATTCTCTAGTAGGTCTGTGTCTTTATTCCCGTCTTGCCCCTAGGTTCTTCATGACCATTTTTTTTTCTTAGATTCCATATATATGTGTTAGCATACAGTATTTGCTTTTCTCTTTCTGACTTACTTCACTCTGTATGACAGACTCTAGGTCCATCCACCTCACTACAAATAACTCAATTTTGTTCCTTTTTATGGCTGAGTAATATTCCATTGTATATATGTGCCACATCTTCTTTATCCATTCATCTGTTGATGGACACTTAGGTTGTTTCCATGTCCTGGTTATTGTAAATAAAAATATGGAATGCTTCACGAATTTGGGTGTCATCCTTGTGCAGGGGCCATGCTAATCTTCTCTGTATCGTTCCAATTTTAGTATATGTGCTGCCAAAGCAAGCACTAACAGTAATTTCTTAATGGTAGTTTTTCCTCTGTGGTGGTTTCAGATTGAGAAACTGGATGCTCGAGGGATCCAGCTAGCTGCCCTCTTCATGAGTGGGGTCGACACAGCTCTGTTTGCTAATGATGCCTGTGGCCAGCCAGTCCCTTGGGAACACTGCTGCCCCTGGATTTACTTTGATGGCAAGCTGTTCCAGAGCAAGCTAATTAAAGCAGGCCGGGAGCGAGTATCCCTGGTTGAGCTCTGCGATGGCCAGGTACCACATGTTGGGCAGCTGCTAAGACCGTCTCTGATCTTCTGTGGGGATGAATGACAGAAAGCGGAAAATGAGCTGAGACATTGGGAAAGGAGGTAGCAGAAGTGGGAGAATGTGTCTGACCTTAACCTAACTTGGTCAAGGATGATCCCAAAGGCCCAGAGTCTGATATGTACATGTTACAAAATCATGCTGGGAAGTGTTTTTGCTTTTTTTTAAATAAACTTCAAGTTTTCATATTCCTTTTTTTGCTCCAAGTTATTTCTTCCCCATGGAATACTCAGATATACTCTATGCCTTTCCCCCAATTCTTAGAATTTCATTTCCCTTATTTATAAAAACTGTAAGTCACTTTTGAAAGTGATGATATTTTTTATAAAGGAACTATTTTGGAAATAGAAGAAGGTAGTAAAGTAGATGGCAGAGTAAAAGCAGGGGATATTTTTTGCAGTAAAACCTTCGAAAAGATGAGAGAAGTCAAGGGAAAGGAGCCCTTACTTACTTCTTTGTCCATCTGTGGGGTATAAGCTGAGAGACTAGAGCAGGGGGTCAGCAAACTGTTAAAATTTTTTTAATTTGAATTTTTATTCCAATAAAGCTTTTTGGAACATAGCCACATTCATTCATTTACATATTGTCCATGACTGCTTTCACACTACAGTGGCAGAGTCAAGTAGTTGTGACAGAAAAAGTACGGCCTACAAAACCTATCTGGCCCTTTTCAGAACAAGTTTCCTGACCTCCGGACTAGAGGCATGGACTTATCCTGGACAGAGGTCATGGTCTCTGATCCTGGGTATGGGGGAGAAGGTTAAAAGGGTTTGTATATGTCAAGTTTTGTTCTCTCTTTTACCTTATTCTGTTACCTCCCCCTTTAAAAAATAACCTAGCTTATTGCTGGCTGTGTAATAGACAGTTAGTAAATACTTCTTGTTATATTTGTCTTCCTTGACCTAGTCAAGGTGCCTCACAAGCCCTCAGTCAGAACTAGTATGATGGTAGTTTGGTGTCATGCAAAGAGTGGGGGCTTTGGTGCCAGACAGGCTTCCCTGAGTATGTCACCTTGAGCCATTTAACTCCAGGCCTCGATTCTTTTAGTGGGAATAGACTTGTGAGACTGTACCTAGACTGCCCAATACTGTGCCTGAAACATAGGAGAAGTTCAAGAAATGGCAGCTGTTATTATTATTCCGTCCCTTATTTGAAGGCTGACCTGGCAACCAAAGTGGAGAAGATGAGACAGAGCATCCTTGAAGGAGTCAACATGAACTATCCATCGCCTTCTGCTCTACTTCCATCACCTACTTTTGTGCCTCCCTTGGTGCCCTCTCTCTACCCTGTTTCGCTTTACCCCCGAGCCATGGGCCCAATGCCACCTCCCCCTCAAGGAAGGAGCCGGGGGTTTGCAGGTCAGTACCTAAGAATGAGGTGTTTGTCAAACTCAATCTATTTCATAGTAACCCATCCAGTAATTATTGCCAGTTACAGAATCAGCAGTTTCACATATATCTTTACCTTCTGTGCTATGGTGTGGTTTGAAGAGGAGCTTACTGAGATGGAGGGGTATAGCCTGTGGAGGAGAGCCCACTGTCTTCCCAGACCACTCTCCATAGAGGTGATTGATCCCTAAGGATTTGACTCTCACCAAACCACTCATGAAGTAACTGATGCAGAAACCAAGAGTCACTTTATTACTTTTTTTTGTCAATTTATTACTTTTGAGAACTGTAATTCATGTGAACTGGGTCTTCATGGTTGCTGGTTAGCTCACTCTCTCCGCATAGGCAGATGTACACAGGAGCTTGCAGGAAGAGCAATGGTAGGTAAGTAAATGACCAGTGTCAGCAAACAGCCATAGCTTGATGTACCCATTTCCACTCTGAGGGTAGATCTAACACATTTCCAGAAGCATGGAGAGAAATAAGTCATAGTCTGTACCCTTCAGGGGATTGCAGTTTAGTGAAGAAAACAAATACATACACACTCATGTGGATCCACACACACATGTATATACACACACGTATGTATACATTATGGTGATATCTGAGCTGTGGCTTAATGATGAACAGACGTTCTTGCTTAGGTAGGTCAGATACTGACCCTGATAATTCAAACAACCTGTCCCCTGGCGAAACAGGGTATTTTAATGGGGACATTTTAACATGAAATGCCAAGTTTCTGTGATCGGTTGAGAGTGCTATGGTTGAACTGTTTGTTGTGTATTGCTCGTCACTTTAAAAATAATAAAGCTGGAAGTTGAAATTTGTCTTAAATTTAGGGTCACAAAATTCAGCATGGATGTTTAGCTCAAGGCTGTGCTTAGAGGAGCAGCGTGAATGTCTGCTCTGTTCAATCAAGTAATGATTAAGTCTCACAAACCAGGGAGCCAGCCATTCATTCCATCCTTTGAAGGTGTCTTTATAGATGCCTGTTCTCATTCTTTGCATGTTGACTTTACTGTGTCTCAGAAGACAGCCTTAATTAAGGCCAAGTTCTTGGGAGGTCCTCACCATTGCCCCAGCTCTCACTGATGCCTAGTCTCCAGTTACTAGTGGTTCATGAGGAGCCTTCTGACTCCTTAAAGGCCCAGTAGGATCCCCAAATGCAAGTCTTTCTTGCCCTCTTAGGATTAGCTAGTCACCTAGTTCCTTAGACTCCCACTTTTATATAAATGAAGGGCTCTTTGCTAACAACCTGCTAAGTGAGTGAAGAGTTATTAATATTTGGGTTTTTTCCACAAACTAAAATTAAAGGTTTACTAGAATTCTGTATTCTATGAAGGCTTCCTTTTGTGCCAAATTACAGAGCTGTACTGTGCTTGTGAGCTCACACACAGAGTTGGAGTTTCCTGTTTTAAGGAGATCTGCTATCTTGTCTTGAATTGGTTCTGGTTTTCAACTGTTGCTATTCTTACTTTTTAATCATAAATTACTGTAACTTTGGTTTCATTATTTTTTGTTTTATTTGATTGTTTGGCTAATCCTCCAGTGTGTAGTGACATGTATTTGAATCAAAAGTGGTTTTGGCCTATAATTTTCCAATAGCTAGATCTTAAGACCTCATTCTCTCTCCACAAATATTGAATGCCTACTGTGTGCAGGCTCTGTAGTTGGAAAATGAATCAGGCACACCCCACTTGCTAAAGTGGATATGTATGGATCTTCAACACCCTCTTCCAAAATTTGCTTCCACCATGACCCTTTGTTGTTATCACAGTCTTTTTATCATAGAGAAATGGAAATACACAGAGTAGGTGGGCTGTAGATCTTTTGTTCCACCTCTTATCCTACCGTGCACTTACCATTCTTCCTCTCTTCCCAGGTCTCCATCCAATCCCACCCCAAGGAGGAAAACTAGAGATTGCCGGGATGGTTGTGGGCCAGTGGGCTGGCAGCAGATCCTCCAGGGGTCATGGCTCCTTTGGCATGCAAGTGGTTTCTGTCGGTGGGCCGGGAAAGGGGTATGTATTTGAATAGGTTGGTATAAGCTAGTGTCAATCAAGGTGCTCTTGGGAAAATGCCCAGCTATTCAACCCTTCTATTAAGGTAAGAGGCATTAACTAACTTTGGGTTTTTAAAGCCAGTTTTCAGTTGAATTCAGCAAACATATAAAAATGCCCTGCCTTGATGAAAAAGTTTTTGCCCTAGAGGAGGACTTGGGACACAGGACAATTTGGTATGACATAGAAATGACAGAGATAGAGGTTTACAGTGGTAACACAGAGGAGAGGCATCTAACTTAAGAGGGTCAAACTTCCTAGAGGAGGTGAGTAGTTAACTAAGTGAAAATGGAGGTACAGGCTTTATGTGTTCCTCATGATCACTTTTCCCCCCACTTTCTAAAGGCACGGAAAAGAGCAGACTGGTAGAGGATCCAAAGGACATAAAAAAGGAAATAAGCAAGTAAGTACCTTTTTGAGATGATCTAGCTTCTGTTTGATACCTCTTGTCGTTTGTTTTTTTTGTTTTTTTTTTATTGCAAGAGATCAGGCATGGAAACCTGGGAGCTTTCACAGCTTCTCCCAGCATTTGATTTCATCCGCCTGCTCTCTAGCAGTCTAATGAGGGTTAACCTGCCCAGGCTCTTCCCACAGGGCTGCAGTGTCATCCTTTTCCCTGAGTGAGGCCACAAGATAGAAACCAGGTACTGTGTCCTAAAGACCTACACTTAGCATAGTATGCACTACATGCAGCCATAAAGGGACCAAAGTGAAGTTAACAGTGGGACTCCACCAGCATGCCTGAACTTCTGAGGGGCTACCAGAGATGCTTAGAAAATTGGACTTTTGCCTTTGCTGATGATGGGAGGGGAGGAGACATCACCATTCTTCTTACTCTTAATGGTTCAGAATGGTCTTAAACTCACTGGTCTTCAATAGGCATCCCCCCTTCCCCCTGTAGTGATCCAAAATCTTGTAATGGCCTCAGAATGCTCATAGTATAGTAGCTACCATTTCTTGAGTGCTTACTTTCTTCCAAGCCATCTACTAGACATTTTATATGTGGTTTCTAATCCTCACAAGGGTCACTGATTAGACCATACTGCAAGGCAATTTTATTGTCAGCCCTCAATCCCAGCTCAGCTCTCATGTATACAACCAGCCCTCATTGCATCCATGTTAACTCCCATTGTCTAATGTTTTCTCAAGGAATACAAATTTGCTTTAATGTTATTTTGAGCCCCAAATGGAACTACAATGGTAAGTCCCACACACAAAGCATTTTGTAATGTACTCCAAAGCCAGAAAGCAGTGACTTTGGATTTTTCCAAAGCTTTTCAGCTTTTTCCAGAAGCTGCTCAGTAAGCAAAAAGGGATTGCACCAGGCAGGAAAACTAGTCACTCAGATAGTCTCCCATAAGGTAGTACAGCCTTGATGAATTCACCATGATTCAGGGACTGATCAATAGGCATACAGTCTGAAAAACCTGATATTTTTGGTACAATAATAGTGGATCCATCTGTAAGTGGTTGACTCACATTATCCAAGATCACAGAAATAGCTATGTGGATATGGCTAAAGGAGTGGGGGAAGGGAAGAGAAGGGAGGGGGTGAAAGATAAAGTACTGATTTACAGTGAGAAGAAATAATTATTGCAATATATTGTACACTTTTTTCCAGTCACTCATAAATACATGTATTTATTATTCCCATTTTAAACAGGAAAAAACTGAGGTTCAGAGGGATGAAGCACCTTGCCCAAAATTACCCATCAAGTTAGTATTAGAGTTGACATTCCAGCGTGAGCTGACTGATTCCAAAGCCCTGTGCTGTGCTAATTCTGAAACGGGATAACAACTCTAATTGTTAGAGATAAGATTCAGACCTAGGCCTGGCTGACTCTTGTATGCATGCTCTTAACCATGTCTACCGGAGCTTTCTCTCTCTAAGAGCAAGCTGAAAGGGAGGCCATGGTATCAGAAATTTGCCTGGGGGCATGGAATCAGAACAGTAACATTAGCTGGCATTGAGTTCTTACAATGTGCCAGGCACAACATGTTCTACAACATGTTCTAAGTGCTTTACATGGAGTCATTGAATCCTTATAGGAACCTATGAAATAGATACTATCATTCTCTCTATTTTACAGATGGGGAAACTGAGGGAAACAAGGGATGGTAGATGATCTTAAGTTTATCTTAGCTAAGATTTCTGGGGTACTGTTATCTACTCTAGAAGTAGCCTGGCCAGGGAAAGCCTCACGTTGACTTTGTTTTTAGCTAAGGCATCTTCCCTAGACAGAGCTGCTGCTGATTGCCTTGCTGACTCTCCTTTTTCTGTTCAGTTGCCCTTTCTCCAAAATCTGAGATAATTAATTGTTGCAGCTTATTAAATCTTCTTACATTACAGTTCTGTCTTCTTGAGATTATTCCTAGGTCAGTGGAGTTTTGTGTGTTCTCAAGTTCTTCAGTCACTTGCTTGTTACATTTTTATTTCTTTGTTGACTACCTCACATGGCTAATTCCATCCATTACTAGTTTCATCTTATTTCCAGGTTCTTGAGAAACACTTCACAGTTAACGCCCATGTTGTGTAGGTTTTGGAGCCAAATGATCTAGCTTTGAATCTGGCTCTGCCACTTACCAGTTCTGTGACTTTGGGCAAATTACTTAACCTCTCTGTGCTCTAATTTCCTCATCTGTAAAAATGGAAGAATTGGTACCTACCTCATAGAATTATTTTGAGTATTAAATGAGATGATATATGTAGTGTTTAACACAGAACCTGGAACATGGGAAGTGCTCAATAAATATTAATAGTTATTATTTATAATTGACCACAAATTCAACAGGTATTAGACTTCCATTATGTGTTGTGTCTTAGTGAAAAGAACAATGTGTTTGGAGTCAAACAGACTTGGATGCAAGTCTAGGCATGCCAGTGACCTTGAGCAAGTTATTTTACTTTTTCGAGCCTCATTTGTCTTTCTTATCTGTGAAACCAACATCAGAGTACCTGGCATGCCCAACCACTGTTATTATTCCTAATAATATTCATTGAGAGCCAGTACTGCACTTTCAAGGTAATACAGTTCATGGTGTTAGCATTTCAAGAGCAGTTACATTTCTGAAATTAAAAGAAAACCAGATGATTGTTTTTACTTATGAAAAATTCTATGGAATATTGCACATAGATCTTATCATTTGTTTTCTTTTCCTTTCATTTACATGTCCAATTGTCAGTATTGGACAGCGTTGCGTGGAAGTTAAGAGAGTAAACTTTAGAGGCTGACCAACCTGGAGTGCAATCCTGGCCCCACCACTTTCTACCTGTGTCTCCTTGAGCAAGTTACTTTAATCTTTCTGAGCCTCAGCTTCCTCATCTGTAAATGGGGCATCATAATATCTACCATTTAGGGTCCCTTTTGGCATTTGAAAAAAATATATTGTAAAGCTTTGTAAACAGTTGCCGTGTCATTATTGTGTTGTCATTGCCATTGGATTTGAGTCAGATCCATTTGTTGTCACCCTAAGTTCTCCAGACAGTGTCAGAGTGTACTAGGTGTTAACAAGCTTTGGGCTTTCTGGTGTTTTTGAAGAACTGAAGCAGTTTCTGCAGGCTAGCTTATAAACATGCTTGGAAAGGATCAGCCAGTTTGGGATTACCATTTCTACTGAATATCTCTGTTTTTGACAGAGCACTTCAGATGGAGTTTCTAAATCCCTGGAGCCTCATCAAGGTCGGTCTCGCTCACAGGTAAATGGAAACAATGGCACATTGATCAAGGAAGAGAAGAATGATCATCTTCCAGCTCCATCACAGTGTGCCTTAACCAGAGACAACAGTGTGTGTAATAATGGTAACCGCTACTTCCCCGTGAAGAATGGTGAGAAGAGCCGCTTACGAGAGCAAAAGCTGGGAACTGTGGCACAACAGAAAGAGGAATAACAAGCAGAAGATGGCTTCAGCAGATCAGGAAGAGGGGAAAACCTATACTTTTCTGATTTTAGGCCCAAGTTAGAGGAGGACATAAAGTGCTTACCCTAGTTTCATCCAGAGTTTGGATGGGGTGTTCTATTATATCCATCTTTTCCCCTTCCCTGTCTTTTTCTGGGCTTCCAGACTCAGTGGTCTGCTTCTAGGGAAGCTCTGATCAAATATGAATGGCAACAAGCATAGTTCCTGTTCTCAAATTGAATATATAGTGCCAATATTCTCTTTACGTCCCCTGGAAGCCTATTAAGGCAGTGACTATCGGATGTCATCACGTAAGGCCCTATAGAAAAGTTCCAGCTTTGGTTTTCTGAGTATATGGCTTCCTAACTTGCTTTTTTCTTTATGAAATAGTAGGGCCTTTATATATAATCAGTATCCACATCTTCTAACTCTCTCCCCATTCACCTCTGCCAGGAGTTTATACTACCACCTCTAGCTCTGACCTGACAATCAGATAGGTAGATGTTTTCAGGGAAGTGAGGTAGTATTGGTTATTTTTTTTTTTAATTTTATACACTTAAAATAACTACCAATGGCCTTTGTACTGGGGGATTCAAGTGAATCAGAAAAGTACTGGGCAGATTTTTCCTGCCTCTGAACTAATGAATTGTTTGTAAAATAGAAGATGTGGTGCAGTTCACCCACTCCCTGCTGCCCACACCCTGAAAGGGTGGAATCAATATAATGAAATTGAGTACGAAAGGGAACTCAAAAGATTGTGTGTGCTTGTTTGTGTGTGTGTGTGTGTGTGTGTGTGTGTGTGTGTGTGTATGGATGTTTGGATGGATATATATATATATATGAATGCATGTATCTATATGCATACACATACCCTTTATATAAAGAGACAAATCTATTTATCTATACATATTTTATATATATATATAAATATATGTGTATGTGTGTATGTATATATAAATATAAATATATATATTTTGTGTATATATATTTATATACATGCACACACATACATACATGATGATGTCCCAGAAGATTTACTGAATTTCCCAGAAATGCTTCCACTGCTATGGAGTGGTAGGTTTCAAAAGATCACATTTTAAAATCCTTACTAAGTCGTAGCCCATAACAATTATGAGAAGATGGGCTTCTCTAAAGCAGACAAAAAGTACTTTCCAGAGATTGCCTGTTCAGAACAACAAACAGTTGGGTTGTCACAAGCCAAATCTTGAACAGAGTCCTCACATCCCGTATGGTAAAAACAGGAGGTTGGAATAGGATTGGGAAAAGTTGGGCATTTCCTTATGAAGGAGCAGCATGGTTGGGAGAGAGAAAGGGGATGGGAGGTAATTACCGGGGCTTGCAGCCAGTTTGGAGGAAATCTCATCTGAAACTCTGGGATCAAACTGGCCTCAGGCTAGAATTTATTGCCATTAATCCCTGATGGAGAGAGGACTAACATTGGAAAGATGGGGTAGGGAAGTGTGAGGAAATGAGCAATTTGATTTTACATACCTAGATTGTTTCGTTTGTTCATTGACATTTTGACTACTGGATCTTTTCATTTGCTTTGCAAGGGAGACTTCAGAGGACTCTGGCCCGGGCCCATAGGGGTATTCTGTAAAAGGTTCCCAGCCCCCAAGTGAGGCCAGAATCTGTCCAGGACAAAGAGGCTGTTCCCCCTTTCTGGAGATACTCTTGAGACAACCTTGCACTTCCAATTTCCCTCCTCAACAGTATGAGGGATGGGAACATGGCTTGCAACAGATTAGCATTGTGTCTTCGTTCAGGAGTTGAGGCTTCCAGCCTCATACACTTCCTTTTGGGCTTTGTGATATTCTTGCCCAAGAAGTACCATTTCTACAGGAATACAACTGACTAGACTTCTAGCAGGGTTCTCTCTCTTTTTGAAAAACCCCATGTACCTTAACCCAGAGTAGGTCCTTGGTGATTTTTTTCCAGACAACCAGAAGGCTGTTTGCTCACTACCCACTTAACAATGAGTGTATCATCATGAGAGACTGAAGACAGTCTCAGACTGTTTTATCCTAGTCTGGCCCAATTTAAGAGAACCCGCAACTTGCAGGGGGAGGGTGGTCTAGAATGCCTTTTCCCCCTGCCCAGACACTTCTTACATAAACCAAAGCAGGATGACAAGAATGCATACCCAGCCAGATATAACCAAGAACAAAGTATACAAAAACCTCCTCTATGGAATTGGCTTCCCTAACTTGGTTCCCGCTCTTCTCCTAACCTGCCCAACCTTTCACAACATCTTGAAGGTTAGGACTTCTGTATCCAGCAAGAGAAGGATTTAGTAGTGAACGTAGATGGCTTGGAAATTTCTTTCTGGAGCCACAGAGGGAGGAGTCCTTTGGAGCTCTAAAAGTAACCAGAATCACTGAGCTGTGTTAAATTAAATAGCTAGCTAGCTAGCTAGCTAGCTAGCTAGCTCCAATTTCTAATAGGAAGTACTTGGAGTTATATGGAAAGACACTTTCTTCAGTTGCTGTTTCTGTGAATCTTGAATCTATTTGACACAATCAAGTGACAGTATTGTTAACTCTCACAGCATTAAGAAGATTTATTATTTTGTAGGCATTCACTGTGAGAAGTAAAATTGCTGCTTTGACAGGGATGATTCCAGTTTGCCAAACGGCTTGCTTTTCTCCCTTCCACACACCTCTACTTTCTCCTAGCCTGGCCCAGGATGAAACAAGTGTCTCACTTCCAACTTTGATTTTTATTTGGATTCAGCATTTTGGGTTTGTAAGGTTGCAAGAAAGAACCATAAAGGGCCATCTTTTAATTTATCTGCCAAAACATACCATTTAGAAGCCAGAAAGACTAAGGTTTATTACTGGAAGATTAACTTTTTCTAATTGCAAGATTAACTTTTTCTAATTTCTTTCAAATTAGGGAACATGAGTCTGCTTTTTGCTGTGAGTACCACTTGAAGAGACTGTCATCCTTCACTTGAGGTTCAATTTCTGACTATGATGTGGCCTTTCTTGAACAAAGTCATGCATCATATGGGAACCCCCAGAAATGACCCCTTTACCTTGTAGGGCCACAAGCAAAAGCACCCTGGATGTATATAGCCACTGATCCCCAAGGACTTTCAGTTCTTGATTTCTGCTGGTGTGTATTGGGGTCAGCCTATAACTCCCACCCTTATTCAGTGGCCAGTCTAGTCTGGGCCAGGCCTGATAAACTTCTGCTCACTTGTATCATTTTCATTCTGAGCCAGTAGGACTTTGGGTAGACTTTATAGCCCAAGAAATGGCACTTGCTTTGGCTAGTGATATTTGATTTTTGTCTCCATCTTGATTTCCTGGCATTGTTGGCCAAGTCACATTAACTTGTTTTTAATCACTGAGAAAAACAGCCAGGTAAGGCATTAGGGAGGGTGGCTAAGGAGGGGGGTGGGGGGAGGAATGCTTATGTAGGGTAGAAAGAATGTGGAAGTAACTGTTTGGTTTTAGTGATCCAGTCCGCTGGAACCTTAGAAGGCTCCTGTGGGCCTGTCTGTGCTACCCTTTCAGCCTCTAAGACTCCCCCACCCCACTTTGAAATGACAGTACAAGTAGACCACAGTTTAAAGTAGTTAGTATAATTCTCCTAAGGTTTAATCATTATACTTGTTTACTTCCTGATGCATATTTCCTAAATATGCTTGGGGTTTTGGGGGGGGGTAAGTTTTCACTGTTCCATTGTGTGTCACCCTATATTTTTCTTCCTCTTGTGACTTTGGCATCTTCTTTTATTTGACTTTCCATTTTCTTTTCCCTTGGCTTATTGCAGTAGTCTGCTGCTGCAGGTATTCCCCTATTCCCCTGTTACTGCTAATTATCTTCAGTATTGTCAGAGGTTATTTTGATGTTCTAAGAAAATAACTTCATATATTTTTTTTTTACAAAATCATCTTTTCCAAGGTAAAAGCAAAATTGAAAAAACCTATGCTAGGGTGCCCACTGCAGCTTTTGACATTGCCCTTGTACTTTTATAGATGCTCTTTTTGTCCGTGTTGGTAGTAACTAATGACTAGTGAATTTTCATGTAAATGCAACAAATTAAATATTTCAGATTTTATTAATCTCTCATAACCCTGCAAAATCTGATGACTTCATTTTAGTTACTTCCCAGAAGACACTTCCCCATCTACCTTTTATTTTATTCTATTCTGTTCTATTTTTAGAATAACATACTAGGTAAAGAAACTAACTCAAGGAGTCATTGATTTTTAGTGCTCCCTGATAAATGATGTTACTGACAAAAGTAAAATCTTTCATTGTTTTTTCCTGTGGTAGTATCTCTTCTCCTGTGCTCTTGACATTGTGTTTAGTGGATGGATAATATGTATTTCTCTTCCAAATTCTCTGCCTTTTTGGCCCACCTCACCACAAAAGCTCCGTAGTTTATTAATGTAAGTTTGAATGGATGCTTCTTAGGAGAAACTGCAGGAATTAAGGAAAGTGTTTCAGAAAGGAATGAAAATGTCTCAGGAGTTGTTCTATGATGGAAATTGGTCTGTTGTTCTGTTAATGCTGATGGAAAGAAACTTACAGTGCTTAATAAAAGTCTATTCTTTTAGTAAAAAAAAATGTGAAATAATTTTGGGTGTGTGAAGTTTAATTTCTTCTCCCATTTCTGGACTCCTTTTGGCAAATGGGGAATATACTTGTCTCAATTCAGAAGTGTTGCACAGAGATTTAGGAGCCTATTTGTAGTTGAATATCAGGGCAAGAGAGCCAGTACAAGAAAAGGAAGGGCATATTTAGCTTCCTGCTG